AATACATATATATATATATATTTACAATATTCTATAAATTCTACCGAATGTTTGGCGTTAATATGTTTGTAGTTCGTTAATATGTTTGTAGTTCGTAAACGAACTACAAACATATTAACGCCAAACATTCGGTAGAATTTATAGAATATTGTAAAAATTATGGTCTATTACCAACATATATATATATATATATATATATATATATATATATATATATATCGATGTAATCAAACTATCTTTATAATTATATTGATATATATTTATTAAAATGACAAATCTAAATATCTATTCTATCAATATTTCCTATTTTCATCTTTCTTGTCCTCATCTTCGTCATCATTTTACGTCATCATCATCTTCTCCTTCATCATAATGGCTTATCATCTTTTCTCTCTTCTTCTTAATCATCATCACAACCATCATCATCACTATCTTCTTCATCATCATCACCACAGACAGGATCATCATCAGGATGCCGCCGACTAACTACGCATCTCTGGTTTACGGTTTCATTAAAAGCCAATAAAGGGTTAATTTGGATAGCAGACCTGTACGTGTAGTGACTTTGATAAATTATCTAGCGCTCAATTGCATTTATACACATCAGCCATTTCCTTAATACACTCTCTCCATACATTCTTCCTTTTTATCTGTTCTTAAACGCTCGCTTCTTGCACACTATTTTCTCCTCTTCGATTTATTCTCAGTTGTTAAGTAATTTTTAGTTCTGATATATTTTATGAAAAAATTTGGTTATTTTTTTGGATATCATTGTTTTATATATACGATGGAGCACAGGATATCTAGTTTATTCATTTATTTTATTTTTTCTTGCATTTTATTTTATTTTTTCTTGCATTTCTTCTTATCCTCATCGCTATCAACATCTTGCACACACGCACGCACGTACGCACGCACGTACACGCACGCATGTACGCACGCACGCAAACACATCTACACACACACACACAAACAAACAAACACACACAACAAAAACAACACACACACAACACACACGGTGTATGCGCAGTGCAAGTACGTGATCTCACGGAAGGTGCATGCATACAATTCCAGTCTGACAAACATAGCATCGCTTTGTCAGGCGCCTAACCACCGCACCATCCGGCTTGCCACCATCCATCTCGCTTATAAAGTTGATTTGGTGACAATGACTTAACCAAGCGTTCACTAGATGACCTACGTAATATTAATATTTTGTATAATTAATGCATTGACTTCAGTGGTTTTAGTTGAATGATATAGCTATTAACGTTGCATTTTTTAAATAATTGATTGGATGAATATGAATGAGTTGATCGTGCCTTTTACGTTTCTCATATATCTCCATATCTTGTTCTCTTGCACTGGCTACCTTTGAAATATAGAATAATTTTCAAAATTTGCCATTAATGTATTGTATAAGTTTCAATATAAATTATTTCTTAAACACTTATCAGATAATATTAATTGAACCTAAACGCCCCGGTTTACGATCGTCTTGTTGTTCTCACTTCTTCTTAATTCGTGTTAAACACTCTTTTGCTAAATCTGCTTTTGCTTTTTCTGGCCCTTCTCTCTGGAACTCTCTACCTACTTCTCTGACTACTTCTCCATCACTTAACGAAGTTCAGAGCGGATCTCAAGACCAATCTGTTTGCAAAATTCATTAAGGAGCGCTGTTGAACATCGCGGAAATAGCGCTTAATAGATTGATTGATTGGTTGGTTGATTGGTTGGTTGGTTGATTGATTGATTGATTGATTTATTGATTGATTTATTGATTGATTGATTAACAAGATAACATTAATTCTGCCAAATACGTTCAAAATATTTTAAAACTAAATAGCTTTCCATAATTTAAGTGCACTTTTCACCTGTTATTTTGCCCAAAATTGTCAATTTTTTTTATTTATTGACAAATATCTAAAATTATGCGGTCCCATTTACGAATCGTTACCAGGAATAATTTACTGAAGTATTTCTCAGGTTATTTATAAATTTTTTCAAGTTTATGTCATTTAAACTCAGCAAGCATGTGATCCACTTTTTAACCTTTCTTTTCTTTTTCCCAATTCTAGATCAGTTCTGTCGGTTTTAAAATGTGGATATCATTTTTTTTGTATTTTTTTTTGTACAGCAAGGTGCCTGGCCACTGCAACCACAGCTGCTGGTAAGATCGCCCAACAAACGCCAGCAACTGCTCCATTCATCACCGGTAATATAAAAATATATATTATAATTATTATATATTTTTATTATATATATATATATATATATATATATATATATGATAATCAATCATCTCTATCTTCTTCTCTTCATTATCATTTATTTCATCAGTTGTCCTTTATCGTGTTGTCATCATCATTGAACATTGATAAACACTATTATCATATTTATGTTATATTTAGAATGTTATGTTATTTATTAATTATTTGTTATTTAGAATGTTATTTATGAATTTTAATTTATTATATTCATTGATAATTAATTAATAGTGAATCAAAAGTTACAAATTTTCATTAAGACTCATCTTAATTAAGTTAACTTTTAAAAATATGATATAGCAAATGGTTTTTAAAGTTGCATAATTTTTCAAGACAGCTTTTTATGATTAATGAGAATTCTTTTATGCAATCAATAATGAACGATTTAATTCAAAATTTAAAAAACATTCTAACCAACAAATTTTACATAAAAAAATTACTCCACAAACAGGCACAAAATCAAAGAAAACTCTAGAAAAGCCCGGAGTTAGAAATATAGTGCTAGTCGATGGGGTCCGAACTCCCTTCCTTCTCTCGGGCACCGACTACAAAGATGTCATGGCCCATGATCTGGCAAGGGCTGCACTTTTGTAAGAGTTGATTTCATATGGGTTTTTTCTTTTTAATTTATTATATTGTTAATAATTCCATTTTATCTTGACCACTTCGACCATTTGTATTACCATCTATACTTATTTCTCTGTTCACATTTTTTCCTCATGTCTTCACATATCTATTTTCTTTGTGTTTTCTGCGTCTGACAGATTTTGTTTTACTGAAAAAAAATACTGTTTCAATACAATTTACATTGTTTAGATACTTCTAGTTCAGTTTATTTGTTTATATTTTTTAAAAAAAGATTTTCAGTATTTCATTGTAAATTATGTACTAATTCTTTCCCTAATTCAAAATGGAAGAGGATTAATGGTAGCAGGGTAGCTGACTGTGTAGTGTTCTAAATATTAAAATTTACTTTTAAATTGTTTAAATTACTGAACCAGGGGTTTGGTGAAAAAGACAAATGTTCCATTTGGTTAGTTTATTTAAATTTGTCAAAGAATAATTAATAATTTACACATTACACACACGTGAATATGTTTATATGTATATATTTATTTATGAATGAATGAAGGAATGTATGTATGTATGTATCTATTTATGTATGTTTCTATGTATGTATGTGTGTGTGTGTGTGTGTGTGTGTGTGTGTGTGTGTGTGTGTGTGTGTGTGTAGTGTATGTATGTTTGTTTGTTTGTTTGCTATGTGTGTGTGAATGTATGTATGTAACTAAATAAGATGTTATCTCATGTTAAGATGCTATTGGTCACATTGTCATGGGAACTGTCATTCAAGAAGTCAAGACAAGCAATATTGCTAGGGAGGTTTGTATTTTGTTGAGATGGTGGCACTCCCTCCTCAACTCATTTATTATTTAAAAGTGGATTTAATGTTTTGAAATCTGGACCTTTGTCCTAACTTTATCATTCTTTGAATTAGTGTAAGGATTTTTTAGTTTTTAGATCAAATTTACATGAAAATCAAGGTTAGAAAAGTTTATTAGCGTTTTTTTATCAAAATCCATTGTGAATATTTTACAACTATTTAATTTTAACCAGAGCATATTGACAAAAGTATGCTACGCACAATGAATTGCATGTTTTTATCTATCAATTACTTTTATTACTGATCACACATTACAGTTATTAATTATAACTTTATGGATTTAGTAATATATTTTTATAATCAGGCAGCCTTAGGGGCGGGGTTTCCGCTGAATATACCCGCGCACACTGTCACACAGGCATGCATCTCGTCCAATCAGGCAATCACATCCGGTTTGTATGTATACTTTTTAATTTTTTCAAAGTTTGAACAAATTTATTTGTATGTTTTTAGTATTTTTAACTGATTTTTATTCATTTTTTGTATATGTTTTATAAATTTTCAATTTTTTTCATATCTCTAGCTATAGGTCTGCTGGCGTCTGGGTATTGCGATGGCGTGATAGCAGGTGGAGTGGAGTTTATGTCTGATGTCCCTATCAGGTTGTAATTATAATATTTTATTACTAATCAGGTTGTAATTATAATAATTTATTACTAATTTATTACTACTAATTTATTACTAATACTATTATACTAATTAGCAACATACATTTGGAAAAATGTTTAGTAATGTGTTTTGTATACGTGTGTGCTAGGTTTCTTACGTTGCATGGAAAGCATTTAGTGGGTGTGTGTATTAGAGATACTGTGACGACTTTAAAGTAAAATTGTTGCAACTGCAGTTTTGGGGGATTGCTGAAAGTAAATTAGTATTGTATTTATCATATAGTAGTAATTTAACTGAGTAATTGTGGAAGTATGTATACAGTTTCATTGGAACTGTTGGTTGAAATATCACTAAGATAGGACATTAATTAACAAATTAGTTAAGTTAAATAACTTAATTAATTTTATTTTAAATAACTTTTTTACTGAGAACTATCTAAAAAGGATTCTATATTGAAATAATTAAATTTTGAAATGATTTTCAATAGATTTGGTCGAAGAATGAGGAAAGCCATGTTGTCCTTGAACAAAGCCAAAACTTTGCCCGCCAAGTTACCAATCTTCATGCAGATGGCCAGCCCATCTAATTGGGCACCAGAGGTCTTTTGAAATTTTTTTCTTGTTTTTTAGTTTTAGTTATTTAAAGTAGCTCACTCATTTGTTAATTTAATTTTGTAATTTGTATCAGTCTACATATTAAATCATTAATTAATATATTAATTAATTATGTTAATGCAGCTGCCAGCTGTAGCTGAGTTTTCCAGCAGTGAAACAATGGGGCATTCAGCTGATCGTTTGTGTGCTGCTTTCCAGGTGTCGAGATTGGAGCAGGTAGTTATCATCCTTTATTCTTATTTTGTTTATATATAGATGTATGTATCAATTAGTAATCGACACATTATTTATTACAATTCATTACAATTCCACCCTTGAGCTGTTGGTTGGTTGGTTGGTTGGCTGGCTGGCTGGCTGGCTGGTTGCTTGGTTGGTTGAAAAATTATATTACAAAATGCAATGATGAAATACTTTAGACACTTATTATTTTTATTCCTAGCCAGTTCATAGAACTGACAATCATTTTTACTCATCCACTCACACGTTATTCATTTCCATCCCACACTCAGGACGAATATGCACTGAGGTCGCACACCCTTGCCAAAAAAGCGACAGATGACAAACTCCTAGATGACCTTTTGACCTTCAAAGTGCCCAACAAGCCCACCCCTGTTTCAAGAGACAATGGAATCAGACCAAGTTCTTTGGAGGTTATGTCGGGTTTGAAGCCAGCGTTCATCAAACCGCATGGAACTATCACAGCTGCTAATGCATCTTTTCTGGTTGGTTGGTTGGTTGTTTGTTTGTCTGGCTTGTTAATTGGCTAGTTTGTTGATTGGCTGGTTTGTTGAGTGGCTGGTTCGTTGATTGATTGATTGGTTGGCTGGTTTGCAGAAGAATATGTTTATAGATTGGTTGATTTGATAGTTAGTAAAAAAAACTATTCAGCTAATTGCAATATTTGTCGGTTATTTGTTACAAGTTATATTTGACTCATTCCTAATATTACCACAGTGGTTATTTATCATTGACTTCATAGTCATCACCATCATCATCATCATTATCATCATCAACATGTATCACTAAGACGGATGGAGCTTCAGCTTGCCTCCTTATGACAGAAGCCAAAGCCTTAGAGCTCGGGTTCAAACCCAAGGCCTTCCTAAGAGATTTCATCTACGTAGCGCAGGATCCCAAAGACCAGCTGCTGCTTGGGTCTGTACGATCGTCTCGATGACGATGATTATGATGAGAATGGATATAATGATGAAAATGAGTATGATGAGAATGATGATGATGACGATGATGATTATGAGAATGGTGGTGATGTTGAAAATGAGGATGAGAATGATAATGATTGGGAAGGCTTCTATTTCATAGCAAATTAACCAATGACAATTTTGCCATTGGTCATTGTCGGTTTATTATTGTCTTTGTTGCCAATCAAATGGATTATTGTACATTTTAAACATTCATTTCATTTTAAATATATTTCATTTTAATTCCAAATAATACATCACATTTCATTTTAAATATATTTAATTTTAAATACATTTCACGTCAAATACATTTCATCATAATTCATTTTTAATGGACATTTCTTTTACCATTTAATTTCTTTAAAATGAGAAAAATATGTTTCCATTATTATAAACAGACCAGCTTACTCCATTCCAAAACTGCTGAGCAAGGCTGGCCTCACTTTGAAGGACATTGATGCAATTGAACTGCATGAAGCATTTGCTGTTTGTAGTATTCTGTTCACTATTCAGTATAGTATAGTATATATTTCATGATAGAGCTAGTATTAGTTTGTATCTAGTAGTATTTCAGATTATCTATTATTTTGTGTTATTTAGTTTTTTGGTATATTTAAACGACTAAAAATAGCTTCTTGTATGTAGTGTTTAGTTTTTTTGTAACTGTTTCCTTCCGGCGTTGACTATCTTTTACTTCTCTACTTGTATCATCTTTTATATTTAATCTTTTATTATTGTTTTTTTAATAAAATTTTTTATTTGTTGATTTCATTTTATTTATTTTTCCCCTCAATTCATTCCTAATTCTCCGGACAGGGACAAGTACTTGCAAACCTCAAGGCTCTGGATTCTGATTTTTTTGCAAAGAACTACATGGGACTGCCGCAAAAAGTGAATTTCTGTTTCTACACCTCTACATAAATTCACACATCTCCACATTATTGTACCACTATAACACAAGCACTAAAGTTTCAAACACCATAGATAACAAATTTTAAATATTTCACACCAAAGTATGGAGCGCCATCTCTTGATAAAATAAACACCTGGGGAGGCTCTCTTTCCATAGGCCACCCGTTTGGAGCAACGGGAGTACGTCTCGTAACTACTGCGGCCAATCGCCTAATCAAAGATGGCGGACAGTACGGATTAGTGGCTGCCTGTGCGGCTGGGGGATTGGTGAGTCATGTGATTTTCTTCTGACGTTTTTATCATCATCATTATTATTGTTACTTTATCATCATTATCATCACTATTAGTAGTAGCGTTATCATTATTATCATATAAACCTTCGCCTAATCGCTATAGTACTTCAAAAATAGATGTAAAATTTACTAAGAAGCAGTGTTTATGCTGAGAGATGCATCTGTATAAAAATTATTATCCGAAAAAGTTATATAGGAAGGAAATAATGAAAGCCGTTAGGAGGATGCTACTTATATTATTTGTTCCATACGTACAATAATTTCAATTCGCGATACATTCATTTATAGCATAACGATTATTACTAATGATTAAAAAGTGATTGCTACTTCAAACAATTCAGGGTCATTCTATAATAGTTGAAAGGTACCCATCCAAATGAGGAACGCTGAATGATAATCTGTAACCAGTAAGCCGAAATCACATTTACCATTAAGACATCGTTTCTCATCTATATCATCACCATCATTACATCACCAAACCATTATTATTATTATTGTTATTATCGCACCTTCATATTGGTGTGGTGTATCACGATTGATCATCATCTTAATCATCATTGATCGCCAATAAAATTCCATCATAACTAGGAGGAATCATTTCATCATTGTCTATCATCATATCCACTATCACTTTTATCATCATTGTCAATTTTTTCGTCAAAAAAGTGCCTCTCCTGTCTCTCTCCCTCATTCTTTCTTTCTCTCTCTCTCTCTCTCTCTATATATATATATATATATATATATATATATAAATAAGATTTTAAATTTCATCATGTTAACTCTGAACAATTCATTTTTATTTTACGATCTAAATGTGTCAGTTCATCTGCCTATTTAATAAAAATTAAAAAAAATATTTGAGTTAATTGCGTTTGAAAAGTTTTTGTTTTATTTTTTTAATTTGTTGTCAATGAAAATAATAAAATTACAGGTAAAACAAAACCACAAAAAATTAATTCGGTAATTTAGAAACGGTTTTCGTTTAGCAAAATAAAAAAATCTGGGTTCTCATTATAGGGCCCCTCTAGGCTGGCTCTTGTTTACCAGTCGGCAGCGCCAGAAGCGAGGTAGTCCTTTCTACCGATGTTCTGGGCTTGTTTGTTCTGTATGGCTTCGAGTTTGGGGCAGTCCGTGATTCGATGGCCCAACCCACCGCAGTACGAGCAGCCGACCTCACCTGAGAACGAGTTATTAGAATAAAATGATAATTAATCTGTGAATTGATGTTAATGGATTGATGTGAATATTAATGAGATACGAACCTCCGATGTTTAAGTATTGCTCTGTTTCCGTTTCCATGGTGGCCAAGAATTCCGGTACCACTTGTTTGGCTTCGATTAGGAGGTGCTTCAAATCCAGTAATATGGACTCCTCTGCGTTTGGTTGGTTGGTTGGTTGGAAGTTAATGTTAATTGAATATTCAACGATTGAAAAAAAACAATTATCTAAATGTTTTATTCAATTAATTAGTAGTTAATCAATTAATTAATGATAATGAGCAACCAACCGCATGTTTTGTTGACAAATGTGGTGGCAACCCCCGTCTTTCCGCACCTGCCTGTTCGACCAATCCGGTGCACTGAAAATATGTTCATGAATATTAATAAGCCACCACAATTATTCACGGAGAATAAATGAATGAACGAGTAAATGAAAAAGTGATCAAGTAAATAAACAATGACAAACTTGATGATGATGATAATGATGAAGGTATCAATAAAAAATTCAATGATGACGATAATAATGAACGCTAGTAACACTAACAATGATGATGTGATGAATTTAAACGATAATGTATATGAGTGTGTTTGTTTGTTTGTATGTGTGTATGCGTATAGAAAAGACGAATGTGGACAAAACGAACCGTAGTTCTCGATGTCGTCAGGCATGTCATAATTGATGATGTGCTGGACGTTCGGGAAGTCTAGACCTAGGTGATAGAGAAATTTTTGAATTCTTCATTAAGATTTAAATTAAATTTAATTTATTCTCATTTCACTTATAGACTATTAATTAGTTAGTCTATGTAAATTTTTATGGAAACTAAATAAGGCGACCAACGGAATTAAGTAAAATTAGAAATAACCTCAATTTAAAATAGACACAACGCAATGGCTCTGAGCAAGAACCATACCATACGTTATTATTAATTAATTATAGATACAATAATTATGACCACCAAAGTCACCATAATAGTAAAAACAATAATAATAATAACAACAAATAATAATAATCGAACCTTTAGAAGCGACATCTGTAGCGACAAGGACATCTTTCTTGCCACTGATGAATTGTTGAACTGAAACCGAGCGCTCCTCTTGGTCTGTGTGTTTGGATATTGAGAGTGTGTGTGTGTTGAGTGTGTATGTTTGTGAGTGATTGTGTGTGTGTGTGTGTGTTTATACAGGTGTGTGTTTATATATATATGAGTGTGCACATGTATGAGTGTGTGTAGGCGTGTGGTGTGTGTGTGGCTGAGGTTGTACACATCTCGGCCATTTCTTGGATTGATCGATTGATTGATAGATTACGATCGGCCCATAATTATACTAACAATTATGAATCAAAATATAATAACAATAATATGAATCAAAATATAATAACATAATTAATATAACATAATTATAATCTTACCTTTGCCCCCGTGTATAGATACGGCGTCGATACCTCTCAGAAGCAGGTATTCGTGTATTGCGTCGACATCCTGTTTCTTCTCGGCAAATACCAGTACCTGTGCCGTTGTATTGTGTTGTACCGTGTGGCGTGATGGCTTTCATTTGTATTGTATGGTACCACTATGTATGCCTTGTATTGGTTGATGATGGATATGGATCATGAATATATGGATATAGATCATGGATATATGAATATAGATCATGGATATATGGATATAGATGATGGATGGATGGATATATGGATATAGATGATGGATGGATGGATATAGTTGATGGATGGATGGATGGATGGATATAATTGATGGATGGATGGATATGGATATATGGATGAAGTTGAAGGATGGATAAAGATATTGATACGTTTGTATAATTATGTGGTTGTATCAGTAGCTTGTGTTGTTGTTGTTAGCTTGTTTCGATAGTTTTATTGTGAATCAAAATATATACAATTAGTCGTAATACTGAAAGTAATGATGACATCTCTGTTTAAGAAAACATAATTTTGAATAAATTTTAAACTGAAAAAACCACCCTATCATCATAATTGTCATCGTTCTTATCATTCATTCTCATCATCGTCACATCACCAATCTTATCATCATTCTCATCATCGTTACATTTCCAATCTTATCATCATCATTCATTCTCATCCGCATCATCTTCCTTATTTACCGGAGGCAGTGTTTTCTGCAGTGAGTTCAATATGTGTGGCATTTTTTCCTCCTGTTTAACGTACTCCACCTCTTGCTTAACGTCCAAGTTAGCGGCCCCAGCCCTACCGACGTTGACGGTGACCGGGCGAACCAGGGCACTCCTGGCGAAGTTTTGGATCTTTTTGGGCATGGTGGCAGAGAAGAGGAGTGTCTGTCGTTGGCCCTGTTTTCGTGGATGGGTGGGTGGGTGGATGCAGATTGGTTGAATGAATTGTGGTTAGACCACCACATCGTCATAAACCACCATCAACGTCATGATCATCATCGTTCACAGGAATTAAGAAAAGATTCTTACCTTGAAGTATGAGAAGATCGTTCTGACATCTTCTTCGAAGCCCATGTCAATCATTCTGTCCGCTTCATCCAAGCACAGATACCTGGCGTATGTGTGCGCGCGTGTGTTTGTGTGATTGTGTGTGTTGCGTCGTGCGGTGTTTTGTCGTGTAGTTTGTCTTTCGGTGATGTGTGATTAGTCAACTGTATCCACGTTCTCAGGCATTAACTTATTTCTTATCTATTAACCAGCCAGTCCATAACAGCCAGCCAACCAACCAACCAGCCCACCAACCCACCAACCAACCAACCAGCCAACCGACCGACCAACTAACCAACCAACCAATCAATCAATCAAACAACCAACCAACTAACCAACCAGCCTGCCTACCTGCAAATTGACAGACTGATCATCTTCTTGTCCAGCATGTCCATCAGTCTTCCTGGTGTTGCCACGACTACGTGAACACCTCTGAGATTAGTTGATTGAATTGGCAAGCAATGAATTGTATAAATTCACTCACTCTTTCATTCATTCAATCGTTTATTTATTCATTCACTTGCTTATTCATTCACTTCCTCACTCACTTATTCAATATTCAATCCTTCGTTCAATTGTTAATCAACTAAAACTGACTTAAAAGAAGGACCTATTTATTGAAAAATATGAGTAACAAATCAAGGCAGTAACCAATTTTAAAAAAAGTATTACACACACACACACCATGCACACACACACTGATACCGTTTAATAGTTTCAAGTTGATCCTTGATGGGAAATCCTCCAATACACAAACAGCACCTCAACTCCGGCTGACCGTGTGAAGCAAGCTGGTTGAAAAAATACTCAATTATGTCGTTTGTCTGTTTAGCCAGCTCCCTCTGTTCGAAAAATAATTAATTAATTATCAAATATAATAATTATAACAACAAGAAAGAATATAAGCTTTGCTTGACTCACAGGATGACTCAAACACTTCTCAAACAACCAAATAAATCAGTTAGCTAATGAGTCATATAGTCAGCCAGCCAGTCAGGGCAGGCGATCACTCTCCCAACCAATCAGCCAACAGACCAGCCAACCAACCAATCAATCGACCGATCAACCAACCGATGGACAAATGATCAGTCCATAAGGTCCCTCATTTCTGATGAATGGCAGATTGATTTCCTGTTCCAGGCAGAACATGACCAGAGGAAGCACGAACACGAGTGTTTTGCCGGACCCGGTGAATGCAATGCCTATGATGTCACGGCCCGATAGGCTGAATGATTGATTGATTGGTTGGTTGGTTGGCTGTCTAATTGATTGACTGACCAACAGATTGATTAATTGATTAACTGACCAATTGAATGATTAATGAATTGACCGTTTAGACTAATTGATTAATTGCTAAATTTATTATTCAATTGATTGATTGACTGACTGACAAATTTGACATAATTAATGAACGAATGCAGAAAAGAAGGTTAACATACACGGCAGGCAGGCCCTGAATTTGAATGGGGGTCGGCTTCAATATGCCCCTTTTCTTAAGGGCTTGGATCATCACTTTTGGAAATTTCATCTCCTATACATTTAAGAGTATCATATTGCAGGTATGTATGCATGTATGTGCGCGCGCGTTTGTGTACGTGTGTCTGTATGCGTATGTGTGTACGTGCGGTGAAGAATAAAATTTGTATGGCCGACCAAAAACATAAAATCAAAAAAAAAAACATCTCAATTAATGAATAAAATGTCTAAATAAGAATTAGAATATGATGAAGGAACCAGTTGAAAGATGCTTATGAATTATTCAAGAAACAGGTTAATTATTCAATACCTTGTATCTTATATCTTATATTATCTTATTATATCTATTCTACTTTATATTATATCTTATATCTAAAAACAGACTAATTATCTAATTAGTCAAAAAGTAAACTCCTCCCTAAAGATACAAAATAAGATTAGAAAATATTGAGGTAGCCAGCCATGTTGGGTAGTCGCAAACCTGGAACGTCTTGAGGGGTGGAGGGATATCTTCACCCTCGGTCAGTATGCGAAGTCGGTCCCTGACGCGCTGGTGTCTCGACGGGGGCATCGCCAGGACGTATTTCGGGACCTTCCAACTGGAGTAATAATACAATTACTACTCTATCATTAGTGTCATTTTATTATTGCTATGGTTAGGGCGACAAATGCTGCTTATTCACTATCCAAAGAGAGTCGTTGAAACAACAACAACAACAATAATAATAATATGATAAGAATAATTATTAGTAAGAAGAGTTATTAATAATATAGCCACATCACTGACCTAGTTTTTATAGAATCACCATACTGGATACCCTTCGCCAACTCAGCAACACCCATCAGGGCTGAGATTGAAAAGAAAACAGAATGGCAGATTGTTATCATTAATTTTTAAAGTTGAAAAATATTTTAAAAATTATTAGAATAACGAGATAATAAATAATATATTAAGATGTCAATTGAAAGTAGTTAAATAGCAAATTGAAAAACAAAAAATAACAAACAGAGAATAACATAAAAAAGAATAATAAAAAATGAATAAAAGACCTGTTTTTTCGGCCACACTTTCTAGGATCTTCTCCTCTTCCTTCAACTGTTTCTCCCTCGCCGTTTCCTTACGAGCTGTCAGAGATTTCCAAATGATAAAAATTTGTTTGCTATAAAGATTAATTCATGTATTTAAATTTGAAATAAATTTTAAAAATAAATCCTCAAATAAAAAAATTTACTCGTAAGAGGAGCACACTACGATACTAAAATCAACTAAATGGGTTCAAAACCAAAAATAATTAATTTAATTAACTTAAAATATATAACTGAATGATTAATTAGTTAGTTAAGTGAGTGAGTTTGGAAGTATGTTTGGTAGAAGGTACATAAGTAGGCCAGGAATTGACTGATTGATTATATACCTTGGGCTTCTAGTTTCAACTGGCTATGTTGGTCTAGCAAACTGATGTGAGATTTCGGCCCCAGCATCTGATAGGTAGCGATATCTGTGTCACTGTCATTTTGGCCGTCGTGGTTGTCATTCTTTTGTAATTTTGACGTCATATAATTGGATTTGTTCGTTGCTAATGTTTTGATGGCTTCAAGTCTCTGCTTCTGCTGTTCCTGTGAAGAATTAATTTTTTTAATTTACTCAATTATCAAGTAGTAAAACTATTTAATAATTTAAATATTTAATAAAAAATTAAGTCTTTACAACTATAGATTTAACATTATATAAAAAACTTGAATAATAATATTTAACAACTAAAATAATGATAATAATTATTATTATTCAAAAAAACAAATTTATAAAAAACAAATAGATACCTTTCTTTTTTTAACAGGTATATAAGGTACATAGTCGTCGTCAGACAACTGCAAGGAATCATCGTTAGTCTGAGCCTGAAATATATCAACAAGTTGATGAAAATTATTATTAAGAATCACAAATCTAATATGTAGTGTTTATTATTGTCTATAAGCTGAGATTTATAACCTTAACAAAAAACCTGACAGTTTATTTTTACTAATTTTCTTTATAACTAGTTCTGTGATTTTTAATTTATTTTATTTTAATTTAATATTAACTCCTCAAATCTTAACTTGAAATCTTGAATTAATTTTAATGATATTTTTTCTTTTTGTTTCGTTTTGCTTGATCCGTGAGTGAGTGAGGTGGTTTTTTATTTATTTTAAATTTAATATGATATTTATTACAACTTTTATTAACATTCTATTTATTTAATATTTAAAATTAATTTTTACATTTATCAAATTAATTGATTACTAAATAAAGCTTAAAACTAAACATAGTAAAAGTAAACTTTACTTTACTTTACTTAGTAAAGTAAATTGTAATTTAATTAAAAACCAAGTAAATGTAAAAGTAAATAAGTTAGTACTAATATGAAATAAAAACTTGAAATAAAAACTGGTATATAATCCAACAATTGTGAAGAATAATAATCTTTTAAAATTTAAATAATTTATATTTAATTATAATTGATTATAAAATAAAAATAAAATAATAAGAAGAAGGTAATGAACATCTAAATTTCTAAAAAAAAAAAACAGTTCTTGCCCTATATCGTTTTCCTTTGTAATCTGACATTTTTCTAAATCTAACTAAAAATTAGTGAATTTAACTATTACTATTTATAAAAAATAAAAAACCGTAAGTTAGACGACATGAACGTCAATTTCGTTTACACAGACACTATTTAAAAGTTAATTTAGTTGTAAAGTAAAAGTAAACTTAAGTATAAAAATATTTTTACAAATTTAATTAAATTTGTAAAAATTTTTATATTTCTTAAGCTAAATTATATAATTAAAAAATTAAAGTTATTTTAACAAATTAATTAATTTTATCAATTAAAATTGATAATTAATAACTTTTTAAGTGCAGTTTTAAGCAAACAACAACGTAGTCTTAATTTTATATTTTATTATGAAAAATTAAATCCCTGTTTATTTGCACCGGTTCGCTCATTAAAATGGTAAATTTTGAATGATTTGAAATGAAAAATTTTTTAAAAATTATTTTTCTAAATTTTATTTAATTTTATTACTTTTTATTTTTAAATGTTTCCCCAGTCCACTGAAGATGGTTTGGAAGTTAAATCACCTGCCACTGGAGCTGGTGTTGGCCCCGCCTTGTCATCAAGAGTATTTTATTTTAATTTAAATAATTTAATAATTAATTTAAAATAAGTTAATTTAGAATAAGTTAATTATGAAGTTTTATTTATTTTAATTAAACTAAGTAAGTTTTTTTGGATTTAATTTTAATTTATTATTTCTTAACTTTTATTTAATTAAGACTTAATAACTTAATTATTAAGTTAATAAAGTTTGTTAAGGTTAGGATTTTACATTAAACAGGGATTCACAACTCTTGTATTTTAAATATTTAATATTTTTATTAAATTATAATAATTATATGATTTAATGAATAATAATTGCCATAAATTGTATTTCAGCTTGAAAGCCTTTCAAAGGAGGATTTAATAAAGTTTGTTAAGAAGCAAATGATCCTTAACCAGAAATCTAAATCAAGATGTGAAGGTGTGTTAGTAGTTTTTGTCTTTCACAATTAATAATATGTATATAATATATTTGCATTACAAAATAAAATTATTATGGCTTTTATAATTAATTATAATTAATTAATTACTTTCATTGGTTTGTTTTATTTTATTAATTATTATATAATGTAAAATAATATATATAATAACATTTAAAATTACTTATATTTAAATTGACTCTATTAAAAGGTGGTTGGGCTCAATAAACTTTGCGTTTTATCCTAATCATCCCAACAATTTTTTTCATTTATTTGGAATTGTTGTTGAATAAAAGATCATTTCAATATTATTTCTAAAACCTTAGAACTGACCAAAGAATTGGAGTTTCTGAAACATAGAAGTGACAACCAGAAGAATGGTCTTGTCAGTGAGGAAGAGTATCAATGCATGAAGTTGAAACAAGAAACTATGCAGGCCGCTTATCAATCAACTATCGACGAGTTGGCCATACTCTCTAAGAAAAATAAGGTTTTTTTTGCATATTTTATGTTAATGGTTTCACTGTGGATGCTTCAATGTTCTCATATTTTATGTTAATGTTCTTGTGGTGGGTGTTTTAATTTTGGTATATTTCATGCTAATTTTTTATGGTGGGTGTTTTAATTTTGGCTTATTTTATGTTAATGTTTTTATTGTTTGAGGTACTTTGGTGTAGTCACTACAGTTTAGTTAATTATTTGTCAGGAGTTGGATAGAGAGCTGGCAGTTGTGAGAGATGACTATAAAAAAAACAAGAGAGATCTAGAAAAAATGTTATCAGAGAATAATGAACTGCTGGAAAAAATTGAAAAATTAACAGAACTTAAACTGCAAGTGCCAGCAACAGCACCACCCACAACAACAGCAGCAACGACAACAAGTGAAGCTGTGACTCAAACAGACTGCAATCAAACAACAACAACAACATCATTAACGGTGTCATCATCACAGACAGATCAAACGCAGCAAACAACAACATCCATTCAAACAACTGTTTCAACACCAACGAAAGCCACAACAGCATCTGTTCAGACAACTGATACAACATCAACAACATCAACAACCCAAACCACACCAACCACAAATGATTTAGAGGAGAAACTTGCAGAGTGGGAAAAAATGATGAAGATGCTGGAAAAAGAGAGAGAGGATGTCAATGAACATCTCGAAGAACTTTATGATAGCATGCGACTCAGCAGTAAATTTGTCGAAAAACTCATCAAAACAATCGAATGCAGCATCCCGAATAGAGATGTGATCACTGAAATGTCGAGCGTCAGCTTAGAAATGTTCAGTCCTCGTATGATTCGCAGAAGTTTCATGAAAAATGAACAACAGCAGATTCCTGAACTGAGTTTGAGTGCCATAGATAGCAAGGAAGATGGCGAAGGGTCCAACTATGATGTGAGCAGTATGAACAATGAAGGGAATGATACTCACAAAGATGAGTCATCTTGCTACCACGAGGTGTTCAGGCAGAGGTTAGGCTACTTGGAGTCCATTTTGGATGAGTTGATATTCGAACGAGATGAGATTAAAGAAAAAATCTATCATATCTCTGATAGTTTAAAAACTAATTTGAACTTTGATGAGGATGATGCTAGTGGGGGTTTAGTAGGGATGTGCCGACAAGGGCTGGACTGTACTAGCAGCAACAATTTATTCGAAGTTCTTGATTCTTTGGATAATTACTTGATTAGTCAGATCACTACGACACAATCGATGGTGAAGAATAAAAATTCTGAAATTAAATCACTATCAGACCAAAACAAACAATTGCACAAACAAATTAAACAATTGCTAAAAGAGCAAGATGATTTAAAGACGAAACTCAACAACGAGAGGGATAAAATTGACATTAACAACAACAGTACGTTCGATAGCAGTCCTACTACTGATGCAACTTCAGCTGAAGCAACATCTTCAACGTCATCTTCAACTGCAACAACAACAACAGATGCAACAATAACAACAGCAGTGAAGACAACAATATGTCCAATGATATTACTATCAACAACACCCTCAACAGCAGCAGCAGCAGCAACTTCAACAACTGCCTCAATTAGTGCTGACAATTTTCCTTCCACTGAAAACTACTTTCCTGCAGTTTGTTCCCTGGATGGCTCATCCGCAACTTCCAAATCTCTTGTCGTTTTGAGTTGTGGCAGTGCTAGCCAGTCAGATGAATTGTTAGAGGAAAATTTAAAGGAAATTGATGATTTGAAATTGAAACTTGTTGAATTTGCTGCTAAGGTAAAAGAGAAAGATCAACTGAACGAGGAGTTGAGTGCTGAAGTGGGAAGATTAAAAGTGGATCTGAAAGATTTTGTTGATTTTAAAAATGAATCAGAGACATTTATTAGTGAGTTGAATAAAATAATAAATGACCTAAAATTAACAATAACAAAAAAAGATGGCGAAATTGATAATTTTATTAAGAATTTAGAGTTAAAATCTTCAGAATGTTCGTCATATCTTCAACAAATTAACATGCTAACACTAGAAGTTGAGTCTCTCAAAGACCAGTCTAAATTGTTCTCAGAGGATCACGCCAAAGTTATTGAAATGAATGATCTGCTGAAGCAAAAATCTAAAGAGTTAGATGATAAAAATGTTGAATCGAAGTTATCTACCGAGAAATTGTTAATAGCAGAAGAAGCATTAGCGGCGTTAAATGAAAAACAGAAAAAATTACTCGAAACTATTTCTAAAAATGAAACAAAAGAGAAAGAGCTCCTGGAAACTATTTCAGAACATGAAACGAGACAGAAAGTATTGATGGAGACCGTCTCAGAACATGAAACTAGACAAAAAGAATTGATGGAAACCGTCTCAGAACATGAAACGAGACAGAAAGAACTGCTTCTCACTTCATCTGATCATGACACAAAGCATAAAGAATTGCTTGATAGCATTTCAGAACTTGAAGCAAATCAGAAAAAGTTGCTAGAAACCATTTCCAAACATGAAACAGAACAGAGGGAACTGCTTGAAACCATTTCAAAAGATGAACTAAAGCAGCGAGAGTTACTTCAAATCATTTCAGAAAGAGAAGGTGAACAGAGAAAACTATTTGAAAGAATTTCAGAGCACGAGACGAAAGAGAAAAAGTTACTTAGTACAATTTTAGAGTATGAAACAAAGCAGGAGGAACTATTGCACGTAATCTCAAGTAATGAATCAAAACTGAAAAACTTGCAACTTGAGTTAACAAGTTGTAATGATGCACATTTGCATGAGATAGAGGTTAGATCTCAGAAAATATCAAAGTTGACCGAGTTGTTGGATGGAAAGTCTGAAGAAGTC